TTCTTCTTCTTCTTCTTCTCCCTTTCTGTTTATTTTATTATGTATGTGTTGGAGTGCTAAATTGACCAGATTAAACTGATGTCCAATAACAGCAAGAGGTAGTAGCTCCATGTTGTCACCTCGGAGGTCCACCAACAACAGACACCAATCTAGAAAAGGCCCATTATTTATACCATTTCTCAACACGCATGTAGTACGCAACTAACACGCAACTCACGCGCAACTAATAGGTTGGATACGCAGGGCATAGGTTGGGGATACGCTGGGAATACGGACATTATTTTGGGGGTACGCTACACACGCAACAGGATCGCAACAGGCACGCAACACGATCGCAACATGATCACAACAGGTACGCAACACATTCGCAACATGTACGCTACCAAAACCTGGCCAGAGACCTCAAATTTGAACCTGCTATCACCTGCGTTCATAACGTATGAGTTGCTTACATGTTGCGATCGTGTTGCGATCGTGCTCCGTGCGTAGCGTACCTGTTGCGTCCCTGTTGCGTCCATGCTGCGTCCCTGTTGCGTATAAATTGATCGCAGGCATTCGCAGAGAATTATTGAACATGTTCAAAATTTCTGAACTTACTCTGCGTGTGTCTGCGATCACCTGAGTGCTTGTTGCGTACTTCAAACCTATAAAACCTATTAGTTGCGTGTGAGTTGCGTTCGGAACTTATGCCCACTATTTTTTATTCGCAACCATACGCAACTGGTGATCGCTATGGTGTGACGGCACCTTATATTAGTTAATTGCGTGTGAGTTGCGTTCGGAACTTATGACCACTATTTTTTATTCGCAACCATACGCAACTGCATGGTGATCGCTATGGTGTGAGGGCACCAATCGGGTCTATGTCCCCCAGGGCTCAGCCCCAGGGTACTGCCGGAACCATAGAAATAGTATAGATAACTATACTATTTATCTATACTATTTCTATGGCCGAAACGTACCCTGGGTACGGTCCGGTATACCGGAACGTACCCTGGTCACTATTTGATGGGAATAACTTTCCCACGGGCGTAGATTGAGGGGCTCGGCTATGATTGGCTAATTTATTATTTTTGGCTAATTTTGTTTTATTTTAGAATTAGGGTTAGGGTTAGGGTTAGGGTTAGGGAAATAAGGGTATAATAATATAATAATATAATAATATAGGGAAATGATTGCAGTGACGTCATAAGACGTGATCACGTGCCCTCAATCTACGCCCGTGGGAAAGTGACACCCTATTTGATATGGTTAGGGTTAGAATTAGGGTTAGGGTTAGGGTTAGGGAGTAGGCGTAGGCGACTCCCTAGACTCGTTAGTGGAGTAGGCGAGGTACGGTCCGGCATATTAGATAGTACCAGGGTACGTTCCGGCAGTACCTCGGGAGTCGGGTGACATAGACCCTCTTAGCTACAGTGTGGTCATGGGCTCAATCTACGAGTGTATCCTGAGTGTACGAAGGTGCACTGCATGCAGTTTGAATTCAGTTAGAGGAAATGATATAATATTCATTTTTTTATTAATCAACTTTATCTAAGGATATCACACATGCAGTCAGGGTGACATATGCATAAGCATGCATATCAAAACATGGTCAATAATTATAAGTAATTAATCCATTTGTTGCGGAATTGTAGGGGAATAAGCCAGTCGTTGTAATGCTAGTCTTCGCGTGTGCACGTACACGTGCGTGCGTGCGTGTGCACATACACGTGCGTGCGTGCGTGCGCACGTACACGTGCGGGCTTGCGTGCGTGCGTGTGCACGTACATGTGCGTACGTGCGTGCGTGTGTGCGTGTGCACGTACACGTGCGTGCGTGAGTGTGCACGTACACGTGCGTGCGTGCGTGCGCACGTACACATGCGTGCGTGCGTGTGCACGTACACGTGTGGGCGTGCGTGCGTGTGCACTTACACGTGCGTGCGTGCGTGCGTACGTGCGTGAGCACGTACACATGCGTGCGTGCGTGTTCACGTGTGCGAACGTGCACGCGTGCGTGTGCACGTTTATGTGCATGCGTGCGTGCTTGCGTGCGTGCGTGCGCACGTGCACATGCCTGTGTGTAAACGTACACAGAATACATGTACATATACGTACTGAACCGTACTTGTGACCTGTGACGTCACACAACCCCTTGGCTAACTACGAACTGGCATGTGAATCAAGAGTAGGGGCCTACATGAAATTATAGAGATCTCTATTATATGTACTCTTGATGTGAATATATAGAGATGAGATATATGCCGAGCATATATGCTCTAAAATCTAAATAATGTATCAGTCAGTCAGGGGAGGAAAGGCAGAAATTAAAAGCTATTTAAGAAGGTTGCGGTTTCTTCGCACAAAAAAACATCACAACAAGTCAACACACACAAATAAATTACATCTTTTTAATCATATTTATATACATCATAACATTATATACATCATTCCCTATTATCTACTTCTGATCATAAGTAATATGTACAATTATCTCACAAATATACCATGGACGGCCATAAACCTAGATATCCAGGCCAGCTGCAATATATATATACTCTTTAACCTATATGTATAATCAGTTCAATACATAATGATACACTATAAGGAAGTGAGGTTATTTGATCCTATTACAGATTTAATCAGCCAACCAACGATAAAAACCAGAGAGACATGATACAAGATTGCGTGGCACAGCTTTGCTGTGGATTCTGAGCGCTGCGCGCGGATGAGACGCGCAGTTCTGCGGGATATGCGCATGGGACTGCGGAGATGTTCAAGTATAAAGCGCTGTCCGCAGTGGAGACGTGCGCCAAATTCGAGGCCCGGCGCACGTCTCCACAGTGGTCAGCGGATGGTCTGTAGTTTTAGAAGATAACAATGAAGACTTTGTTCTAAATAAGAACTATCGGCGGCTAAATAAGAGCAATATACACACCTTTCAATTTTTTGACTAGTCAGTCAAAGGGCTTGTTGGGGGTCCATTATGCCGAGCTACTAATTGAAATGGCCCATGAAATTGTCAAGTGGAATTGTGTTTTTCGGAACCCTAAAGAAAATATCGCCCTCTTACATGCACCCCTCCCTGATCAATCACGCATTCAGGCGTAAACAATAACAGAGATGAAATTGTGTTAAGTTTGTGGCTCTTGACGCACGTGCATTGACGTACAAGACTGTTAAAATCACAGGCACTTGAAACGTCTCAATAAAAATAAATATTCACAAAATTTTTCACAATGATCCACTGCCTGTGTGCAAAATAGGTGAACGTATGTGAAACATTTACGGTTAGTACTTACTGTCACAAATCCGTGACTAACTGACACCACTAAATTGGTAAAATGTTCCATGCACCTTAAGAAATTCTGATAAATTACGAGGTTATCATCGCAGAACTCCTGACACCGCCCATCCTGATGTCACAAAGCTATATGTAAACAAACAGGCGTGTTGCGAGGTGCCTGCCTGAGGCTGCCTCCGATATCCATTTCGAGGCCCGCGGCAGCGAAAAAGCATAAAGCGCGCGGGCAAGACGTCACACACACAGCTACGTTCATTCGCTAAAACAATCGAGTAGCGGTCAGAGATTTTCGGAATTCTTTAATTTTAAGAAAAACTTCAATGTTCAATGAATGACGCACTCGTTCACTTCCGAAAGCGGGTAAAAATGCCGAATTTTTCCACTTCGATGCAAAATGCATCGGCCGGGCCTTTCATTATTTACGAAAAGCAAACGGTCTCGTTAAACACCTACACGCAGTAACTGGTCACGTCGTTGACGCCCCATTCATGCCCATCAACGAAGAAGGAGGGGCTTATTCTGATTACGGAAGCGAAAATGCAACAGAAAGGACGTAGTGCAGTGCGCTAAACAGCGTGTTATTTTCGTTTTTGTGCCAAACTCTATCGTAGAAAACCGTTCTAGCCTAGCAGAATGCCCTAGTTCTTGAGATCGGCGATTCCATACGTTGATGGGTCCCCACGTTTGAAATTACAACGGAGGGGTGCGGCGTACACTGTGATTGGAAGACACAAAGTGTCGATCTTCTGCGCGCCTCGGCATCATGGCCGCATCACGTCTAGAATACCTATGAAAAACTAACCATGGCTGGCAGACATGGTAATTCGCGATTATCACAGTATAACTGTCTGACATAGTGTGCTTTTATTAATTTAAATAGTTGCCTCCCAATTTAAGTAAAAAAGTATTAACGTGACAGTCTCACGTTTCATCTAAGGATTGCCTATAGCTAGATCGATGCGCGCTTGTGACCTCCCGTTGCTAACTCCCACCAACAACAAATAATTATTTATATATATATACCTTCCCACGTATTCTATATTATACGTTTGCTATAAATTACAGCAATAACGTACATCGTACATCTTTACCAGTGAATGTTCTTATCTGTTTCATATCTATTTCAACAAAAATTTATTTGAACCCCGATTTTTAAAGTGGTTGTATAACGAGAATAAATGCATATATCACAATGTTTACTTAATTAACAGTCTTGTTGGCATACCATAGCTCCTACGTCACAGAATAATGGGAATGAAAAAATACGATAGGAACACCTAGCTACAGTCCTACACGTTATATATCATTAAAACTAAACACGTATGTATATAACACACAAGTGGTATAACGTCTGGGTCCGTTTTCCTGCCATATTGTCTACAAGTAGATGTTTGGATTAAAAGGTCCAGCTTTTATTTCCATAGGGTGATTTTTTGCTATTGTTGCATCACCAAAACTCTCAAAGTGAAACTTCACAGTGGCTCCCTGCATCTTGGCACCATAATGGCCAGCCCAAAACTGAGTATCCTTGCCATAGTCAATAAATGCTACGTATCTCACTCCAGGTCCATATTCTCTAAAAATGTATTTCATCTGCAAGAAAATATCTTGAAAATGATGCATGTCGGCTTTTGAACAATGCAGATTCCGTAACCTTCCCATCCCTGGTGATTGAGTATATTAAGGTAACAAAAAACTATTAGTCATATTCAATATAACAATGTCGTGTGAGCACGTGTTTTGGTATAAAAAGTCAGAGAGCCATATAGCATCTATAATATATATATAAGCTCAACTATATAGAAAGAAATCCTAATGGAATTACAACCCGATTACCACATATTAGCGTTGTGTGTTGTGAACTTGCTTTGATACACACACGCTTCTATGTATCAAGTAATTTTTACCTGAGACCAAGATCTTCCAAGCCATTGCTCTTCTTGTAATGGTGCCGAGTTGAATCCCCGAATTACACGCTTTCTGTTATCCAGAAGAAATGCCTTTAGCCAGTAAATACTCCCACAGTCAAAACGTGATGCATGCCTAAAATGTTAAGAACAAGCGTGCACAACTCATAAGTAATCTAGTCACTGTGTGTGTATGCTATTAACAGATTAAGGGAGTGTACTAGATCTGACTTCCGAAATTCTGGCAAGAACTACAACTTGGGTTGGAAAACAAATGCAGGTATGCAACCAACACCCCTATATTCCTAAACCCTCATAGTGCTGCTGTTGCATGAAATCGCAGGTGCACTTATCAATCAGCAGCATCCAGCAGCAGGTGCAGTATCCAAAGTAGTTGGGCTAGGTTTTTCTGAGATGGTTGCTTTAGGTGTAAAATTTAATCAATTGAAATTGAACAATTTTTTGACAACTAGCATCTCAGTACTTATAGTACAATGACATAGAATCAGTCTAACCTCTGTATAACTTGCTATTTAGTACTAATAAATATAGATCCCTTACACGTTGGTAAAATATTCCTGACAAGGTCTTGCTTTCCATTAGATTTAAGTTATACCACCAGCTGGATCAATTACTGATCAATATATATCAGATATGCTAATATGCTAGCACAATGTAAACAACATTACAATATATTTTTAATAGTCACCATTCTGACACTTCTATTGGTGGTTGTTGAACGTCTAGGACTTCCTCGCCACATCCTGACTGTATTAGGTCAATCAGCTGCATCTTTGCACAGGCTTCAAAAGATGTGGCAAAGCATGTTGTCTCTCCTGTGCAATAACATAGTGCATTATTTCTCTTTGTATAAGGTAAAAATTACACTACCATATCGATTTTGTGTCATTTTACGTAATGTCATATGTCGTAAGATCATGTACATCGTGATAATTTCACCTATCTAATGTACATTTCTATGATCACACTATGTGCACTGTGCAACTATGCAGGTGCATAAGAGTGTACGGTATATGCATGCATGTATTAAGTAACAGAACTAGAGACATGAACATTCGATTCTTCCAATTAATAAAATGGTTTACGTAAATTCTGTGAAAAGGATACCTTCGATATATTCATATTTATTTTTCTATTTAGTATTTACCTTGACTTGCAAGTGGGAATTCATCACAGCCTATAGGTTTTTTCTCAATTTTCCAGTGGGCCCCTCCATTACTCAAGATATCCCAGCACTTCATGGAACCTATAAAAATAATGTATAAACCAATGCTTGGCAAGAACAGACGTACTATATTTCCTTTTATCTGTTACAACATGTACAGGTAATTTCACTCTAAAAGCACAATTAAATTTATGCATATGATTCTAATATCTCTCATAATTAATTAACAGAGCCTTAATTATAAAGCTGCATTCTCCCGTTAAAAAGCTTTCATAAATGTCGTAGACACACTGCCAGTTCTTAATTATCACAGAAAAATGTTCCAAAAAACACGTTCAGCACAAACAAGCCTTGCGAAGTGGTGAACCTAGTTCGCAAAAGGTAAATAAACGCCATGTCAGACTGTCTGTTTAAAATTCAAGCAGTTCAAAACCAAAACAACAGCACCTAATCTAGTCTAGTCCAAGGAACTAGATATAGGTTAGCTGGTTTTGTGCTTAATTGTATATGACTTATGGGAACATCCGGTCTACCCATCTTCAAGCTAGGGCACTCTATTAGTAGCTGATATATATCATTATGCTCAACAACTAACGGCTTTCATGCAGGCGGCCAGCTCATAGTGCTGTGTCTGCTGAAATATATTAAGCTAAATTTATATCAAAGCCATTCCAAACACGCCTGCATCACAGTAGTATGGTTCTCTGATATTTGTGCAGATATACAAAACATCATGGAGGATTACTGGAGCAGGTATTCCTATAGGCCAGGACAACTATTTTATCATGCTAACGTATGTCTATCAATAATCAACATTGGGAACTCATGCATAGTTCACATTTGTGCTAATAGTATATGGCATAATTTCCCCAGGTTCAGTAACACATTGATATACTATATACAGAGACATAATCTAGCAATTGATACACTTGCAAAGGCAACACCTACTTTGCCCTCCACTTGAGTTTGTTATGAGGCTTCGTCCATAAGGATTCTTCTGGTATATCCTAACCAAATCTGGTACATTGGTTATTTGGACAAGTGGCGGAATAACTTTTCCATCCATGTGACATTTAAGCTTCCATAACACTACACTGCTGGACACCAACTGACACCACTGCTTACACACGAGCTTAACAGTCTCATGCAACTCCTTACCTATAAAAGAAAAAATACCACTCTTCGTATTTTTATTATGACCAAGTTCACAATGAAGCACATGACATGGAGAGTATATACATAAGTATAGCAGACCTCAGCAGGGTTCTCCCCCCCCCCCGGGGTTGGCACACCCAATATATTGCATGGTAGGTATGTGCTGCGGTTAGGACCCCCCTTTTCACCTCAAAATTTCTGCACCGGAGACCCCCCATTTCACATAATTCCCGTCCTGGAGCATAGGTCCTACTTTTTTTCGCACGTTCGGAGACCCCCTTTTCACATATTTTCTGTCCTGGAGCAAAGGTCCTACTTTTTCCCGCAAATTCCGGAGACCCCCTCTCGCAAACATATGTCCAGTTCCAGAGCATCATGCTTTCCAGCAAAGCCTAAATCTGAAGACCCCCATTTTGATGTGCCGAGTTAGTACCTGAGCCCCCAAATTCCATCTCTCAAGTGGCACATACCTACCCTATTTTGTAGGGTGTGACCCCCCCCGGTGAGAGAGATGCGAGGACGAGAGGAAGGAGAGGAAGGCCGAAATCGTATAGATAGTGCGCGGAGGGGAGGTGAGACACGAAGCCGCCGGGGGTGCCACCACAAGCAAGATGGGCACACAACGTGATTAGATGAGAGAGAGAGACCCCAATCTTAGGCAGGAAGAACCGATGAGACTGCTGGCGAGTCAGGTGCAGTGGCGAACATACGGAGTATGGAGCAGTTCTGACTAGTTGCACGTAACACTCTCACTCTAACGTATCTCTGGGTATTGATGAGTTAATCTAGTCATCACCACCACAGGCTAATCTGATGCTGTCCAGCCGATGCTCTGATGGGAGACGCGGTGGTTCGAGCAAGCAGCGCAATCCTAAAACTTGGTGAGTGTCCATGGAATGACATTACTAGGTAATGTGTATAGATAAAATATACCGAAAATATGTTTTGATTAAGTTAAATTATTAAACTAGTAGTGTAAAATAGCTAGACAGTGTCGCGAACATGACTGTGCTAGACGTGTTGTGAGCTAACGAAGTTGATAGGTGTGGAGGCAGAGTAGGTAAGAAGAAGTAGGAGAGGCAGGGATAGAAGATAATTAATGATGAGCAATAAATGGAGATGGTCATAGGCAATTGAAGAAAAAATGCACCAGGTGAACGGATGGAAAACGAAGAGGACTACGAAGTGAGTAGAGGAGAAATGACGCACAGAGGAAAATAGGACACACGAGAACCAGTATATGTTAAGAACCGGAGTGTATATTTTGTATAGGCGCTGTGAGTCACGATACAAATATTGCAACAGAAAAATCCCTGGTTTGGCAATTGCTTCAAATGTATGACGAAGGTAGTCCGAGGAAAGCACGTGATACAGCACCAAACAAGTCGGCGGTTGATGGTGAAGTCAATACTTGTCCGTTGTGATACTCGAGGCTCGAACGCAGCGTAGGGCGACACGCAGTCGCCATGAAGGGAAGCCCAACGCAGAAGCCTGCGCCGTGCAGTATGTGAGTAAGGGGCAAGACACCTACAGGTCAGCTGCATCGCGAGAGGCCTGGAGGACATACGACCCAAACAGGAACAGAATATCATAGATTAGAAAGCGTAAAGCTCGCGACGATGACACGACACCAGTCACGCTCCACACACTATATACACACAGCATGCACTGCACGCATATATAAATTCATATATATATATTACAGTAGATTTGCATTAACGTAATTAAGGCTATATATTAATTCGCTACTTAAGGTGAATAGTGAAGTAACGCTCCGACGTGCACCTACCTCTGAGCAGAAAAGCCATGAATAGTACGGACGACGTGGCCAAGCTCTGAATCATTTATTATACAGGTAAATATAATTCATCACAGAAACACAGGGGTAATCAGTGATCGAGCGCCTCCGAATACGGATTACTGGCGACGAACTTGTATGCCCACAAAAAAGGTTAAACGCTTGAGAGATCATCGTTATGCAGCGCAACCAGCGTTGGCGAGCAACGGTTTAGGCAATGAAGGCTAGCAAGACAAGCACCGATGTGGGAACGATGCTAAGACGTTAATTGGCTTATCCACACGTTCCGTATTTCTAGTTAGGTCTTATGGGTAATGCGACCATGCCGGGTAGCCAACGGGTCTAACATTCCACGCGTACGATCGTCTACGTCAAAACGTGATTTCTTGGCACAACTGATAAAGTCGCTGTCCCGGCGGATACTGCCCTCAGTTTGGGCAGGACGTGCTCACGCGTTGTATGTGCACGCGACCGTGTAACGTGAGTGGCCCATCTAGCATTACAATCTGGCCCTAGAGTCGCGCAGGTCAAGTGTACCGCGTACTGATAAGTACTCAGTCAGAAGGAATACGTTGGCGGTATAAGCCCCCAGGTGCAAAGCGCGCTGAATTCTACTCGGCAATGCAGTAGTCAGTGAGATGCACATTTACTTTCTCTACTGCGGCTAGTTCAACATCAGGTTATATGCATGACGAGGGCGTGCTGCTGTGACCAGAAATGTACTGGTCTACATGGTGCATGTGTGCGCCGGGACTTACGTACGTACAACATGATCCTAGTCCGTCCTATAAATCTGGATACGCCAGGTGTGCGGGTTCGTTGGATCATTGGACACGAACGAATGTAAGTGGCGCGCCGAACAATTGGGGCGCAGGTCTGTCTATTCTTGTTGCGTTCTATTGGCAGCGGTTACTCGATGTGCCCATATCAACTGATATAGCTGTGTTGAATAATTGTTAGCCGCTGCACGCCGGCATGGAACGTGACGCGCGAGTTAATTGTTGCTGGTACACTATTTGACCCTACCTGACGATGCGTGGTACTTGATACACTGCGTTGCGGCAGCACAGCTTTAATACGACGAGTTGGCGCTTTGCGAGCGATTAGGCCCATCGGCCCTCAGTGTCGGGTAGCTACCAGTACTACGTCACAATTCATGCTGTGGACGGGTTTCCCAGGCTTGCTCTATTTAGGTGCCTACTCGGCACTGGTGCGTGCACCACATGGGGTTAGAAGCGCATTACTAACTGTATCGCCATGAAGGCATTCGCAGAGGGAAAAATCCCTTAGTCTTCAGCCCAACGGCATAATTTAATATAGACGTGTTCTGGATTGTACTGGGCTTTGCTGCAATCGATTGATCAAAATTTTACCAAATCAGAGCACGTGCAGGAACACGGTTTTTGATTTTGTCGGGGATAGATGAGTGAAGTGAGGACTGGTCTCGGTTATGTTAAATTGTTGGCACGAGAAGATTAAGCGTACAAGTAGATTAGCAGCCTTAAGGCGTATGGTAAACAAATAATAGAGTTCGGCTTTTACATCTCTATACAAGAATACTATATGTTATAATTCTAGACTCTACGACCATATCTATAACAGTACACAAGCAAGGGACGTCACCTAAATGTAGCCGATCGGTAATATTAGAGACCTTCGCTTTGGTCCCTTACTCGAGGGGACATGAAAGGTTAATACTATGCAACAACTTAATCGCGTTCACTCCCTTTCTTCTCATTTCAGCATACACTTTATTATGTGGGGCTGGCGTCCTTTTTCCGGCGGGGGAGGGTTCCTCTCTTGCAGGAGAGATTTTTCTTTTCACTTTCATATGGCCACCTCGAGCTGGCCGCATCTCCAGTACACGGCATCAGCCCTTACACATCGGTTCCGGACAACATTGCAGCGCCGGGTCAACTCGTCTCATATAAAACAGCTCCAGATCGGCTGATGCTTCTATTGAGCTTGTGACTATTCATAGGACTCTCAAACCTAACCTCAACGCCGGAGAAAGAGTGCAAATTACGGAGAGACTCAGATAATTATTATTATTCACTCCTGATAACATGTGTTAGTAACAGAACAACGTCCAGATGAGCATGTGGCCACGGGAGTTTCTATTCTGATCAGCTATTCGTCGCATGCACCATGCCGCGCCGGTGTAAGTTTGGGGTACGCTGAGATTGGGCGCGTTGGAAACAGTTTGGCTATGAGTGTCAATAATGGCTTGCATAGAGTGTTACGTGTGGCCACTTATAGGCACCGAGGAGTAATGCTATGCGTGTGCCTAATTCTACAAGGCCGGCTTATAGCTGCGCAATGGGTCACACGCCCTGTTGTTCTCGGCGCACCTGTTTGGTTCACGGAAAGATACAAATCTAAATGATCGAAAGGACAATAAAACTCGCGCATATTTCTCGTTTATAATGTCCCTCGCAGTTGATACGGCCGTGTCACAGAGCGTGATCTGCATCTCTACATGTGCCCATCTCCCGCCGTCTTCGAAGAAAAAAACTCTCACACCGCTGTCAAGTAGTTCTGAGTCAGAGTTTTGATAGCAGGTGTCTATGGCACGATATTTTCAGTCTGGTTCCCCAAGTATCGCATATCAATTTTTCTGCGGAGTTCTCACTATACTCCATTGGTGTGGATAGAAAAGCGTCGCCAGTCTCTGGCAAATTCGGTTAGTATCTGGTATCGTCCGGCGGGGAAATTGTAATTGTAAACAGACCATTCGTAATTGTTCCTGTCGATAGTTGCGAGAGCATGTGCTCAGTGGTGCTCATCATATGAAGGCAGAATGGCGCTGTTTGGTACCTCCAATTGTACAATGATTTTATATAACCATGCATTTGAGAAAGGAGTTATAATTTAATTGGCAGCACACGATCAACGACATATCGTACTAGAATTTTAATTTATGATGTCTTGACATACAAGCTATACTTAGACAGTCTCCGCTGTGGCGTTTGTCGGCGTATCGGTTTAGAGTTACTCTACGCTAGCTATAGCATCATCTATAGAGCGGCTGTGTAGTCTCAGCGCTTATACTTAATATCGTTATGTTATTTACTGTCTTTGTTATATCTGCACACGAGCTAATAATGATCAAGGCCATGCGTTCAGCATACATATAATGGACTTCTCTTTTATATACTAACCCTATATTAAACACATTAGCTTCTCATTATGTTATTTTAATTAC